GATGAGTACTGACGGCAGGTTCTTCAGGTGTTCAGGACGTCGGAGGTCTTGTAGTTGGCAAAGGACAGGCGGGTGTTATGAATACTTTTCCTGGCTTCTGCCGCAATTACCAGCCCTTCTGCTCTTCTCTCTTTGAGGTCTTCCTTGATCGCATCTCTGCACTGCTTTGCAAGCTCGGACATTCACTTGCGGTTGCCTGAGGCATGCACCAAACCACATTGGCGAATAAGCTCAAGAGTTTTCAAAGACAGGCGGTTTTTTGTGGCTATCTCTCTCTTAACATTCCTCGCACAATCATGGAGGTGCTGAACCAGTTGATGGTATTCCTCGTCAATGTTGTCAACAATGGCATCTTCCCAGGTTGCAGCAATAGTGCCAAAGAGCTCCCAGTTGATGATCGTTCTGGGAGTTCTCTTCTTAAACTTTGCAGCCCTTTCTCCCCACTCTGTGAATAAGAACTTTGCACAAAGGAGACGGTAGTCCGATCCCGTTTAGAATTTTGGGACAACAGCAACATCGGTCAAGCAAAACTGCCGATTGAATATGATGTGGTCTATTTTGTTGTGGAACCGTCCACTGGGAGACTCCCATGTCCAACATTTAGATTCGGCCTTGTGGAACTGTGAGTTACAATGGATGGTCTTGGTCGACATGATGAACTCAGACAGTCTCTCACCCTGTTCGTTCCATTCTAGGCCATGGGTCCCGATGTGGAGTTCTTTGGCTGATCTACTTTGTCCTATCTTGGCATTAAAATCACTGACAATGATCTTGTAGAAGGTATGATCTTCTTTATAGAACTTCTCTAGCTCCATGTAGAACTTCTCAATTTCTCCTTCATCATAATTGGATGTTGATGCATAGATAATGAAGATAGAAACTGCTGGCAGTAAGCCACATCTATTCAAGTGTGATTGTCCAATTCGTGTTGTTAGGCATTCGAATGAATAAATGCTCATGGCCAAGTTTGTGTTGACAAGGACACCAATGCCTCCGATGCCTCTTTTATCACATGTTCTGAGAAACAATTCTTGTCCAGTGTCGAAAACAGCGTGATGTGATTGATGCCTTCTTGTCTCGGTCAGACCAATGATGTCGTATTTGATCTTTCGCGCTTGTACCATCAGGTCCTCGATGGATGCATCCGATGCTAGCGTATGTGCATTGAAAGTACAGACAATCATTTTTGTCTTCCTTTGTTTTGGCAGCCTAGTTGGGCCTTGAGATTTTATCAGCCTCTCCTTCCTCATCCTTCTCAACGCTGACATATTGGTGCCGCCTTCAGGTCAGGGGAATGAGACCCATTGTAATTACTGGTTTTGGCATATTGAATACACAATGGATAGCTTGCGAGGCACTGCTGTGCGGGCGGAATACTCTTGGTAGCTTGCCAGGCTCTCCAAGAGGGATAGAGGCTTTTAGGGTGGCCTCTAATCGCCCTTTGTAGGTGTTCCCATGGTTCAAACCATATTCTAACCCTATCAAATATGGTATGGCAATTCTGGAAGATGGATATTAAGTGTCTTAAAATGTATCACGCAGCCACAAATTGGCCGTGCAGCCTGGAAAGCATCCTGGAGCATGGCGGTGGCTGGGTAGTGGATATAAAAATATATATATAAATATATATATGTAAATGTAATAAAATAAATAAAAAATATGTAAATATATATAAAATATATAAAAACATATGGTATATTGTGGTATATAAAAATATATATGGTAGAAGACTAATATCCATGCCCAGGGAAAACAGGGACTAGGAGGACTGGTCAATAGTTGGAATCAACCAAAAGTGTGTGGGGGGCAGAGGGTAGGTAAAATAGAGAATGTAACAGTATGACAATAATAGCTGGGAATGATCATGTTGGACAAGATCTGAGTGTTAAAAGTAGGTCAAGGACGAATGGGCCCTCTGGCTACTCAACAAGCTGCTTAAGCCACGATCCCAGAGACTCAGAAACAAATCTCGGAACCCAGTGGCAGAAATGCATCTGGACTCTGCATTAGGCTACCAGCCCTGGACCTCCCCAGATGGGAAAAGGTGCTGATCCACGGCCTGTTCCCCCTGGTGTCTCGGGGTCTGCCATCTTCCAGAAGCCAATGGGCAGCCAGATAGGGGCCCCCACAGTGATGAGACACAGGAGGCCTCATGGGACAGGGCTGGAGAAGGCCCTTTCCTCCCCCACCCCAATAGCACCCCAAGTCACTGCCTACAAACAGGCCCTCTGGCTATTCAACAACCTGCTTAAGCCATAATCCCAGAGACTCAGAAACAAATCTCGGAACCCAGTGGCTTTTGGCAGAAATCCCTTCAGATTTAATTATTAAGATTTCAGAATCCCAAAATCATATGCTATTCATAATCAGCAATAGAAAACAATAGAAAATTGTCTAATGTTGCCTTTTCGGCAGATGTGAGTGTTGGGGTAAAATCCCAAATAATAATGGTGACTCTGGTGTTGAAATATTGGAATGTAATCAAAGTAGAGAGAGAGAGAAATGTGGAAATCATCTGCCCCACAGGTAGGGGGAGGGTGTGGGATGGGGGGTATACTGGGGTTTTTGGTGGTGGAAAATGTGCACTGGTGAAGGGACGGGTGTTTCATTATTGTATGACTAAGACTTAAACCCGAAGGTGCTGTCACAGTGATTCAATAAGCACATTTGCAAAAATTAAATAAATAGAATATAAATTATTTAAATTTTTACAAAAGTAGGTAAAGGGATATTCCTGATAACCTTTCAGCGTCTGTACTGCAAACCAAAATGCCCAAAGAAGAGAGAGAGAGAGAAAGAGAGAGAGAGAGAGAGAGAGAGAAGGAAAGAAGAATGTGTCTGCAATAGAGGCAGGATGGGGGGGTGAAGATTGGGGATGATTATGGTAGGGAAACTAAGGATACTGGTGCTAGAAAATATACAGTAGTGGAAGGATGGGTGTTGAAACACTGTATGACTGAAACCTAATCACGAAGAGATTTGTAAGGTTCTATCTCAACAATGACTCAATTAAAAAAAAAAAATTTTAAGCTACTCCAGCCTTACCTTCACAATAATAATGAATGCCCTGAACAAAAACAAAACAAAACAAAAACCCACATAGAAACCCACATATTGTTTGTTCCTTATCCACTCACTAGCTTTTTATAAGATTAATTCCTAGGAGTATACTTCAAAGTCATGGGACATTCAGATCTTTGCACTGTGACCTCAATGCACACAGCAGTGACAATTATCACTACTTGGGAACAGTTGAGGCACTGGTCAAGTGGAAAGTTGAAAAGCAAGTAACCTTCACATTATCTAAATTTGAGCAAGTTTGAATGAATTACACAAATAATTTTCTCACCTCAGAAAACAGACACAATATTTTATATCTGTATCAATGTAGCTCAATTTTCTCCTTTGGACAAGAGTCACAGAAGTTATGTAAAGAGTAGGAAATTAAACAGCTCTATCAGTTAATTTCTGCTCCGTCACAAACATTTACCTATTTTCAGAGTTTGGTATCCTACACACTGTGACAATAATTCATAGATAGCAAATTGACACTTAGAGAGTGAAAACTGCATTAACATCCTGCCAAAATTGAAGCTGAGATAAAATTTTTCAGCTATTTCCCTATGAATGTTGTTTTCTTCCTGCCTTGGAAAAAAATCACCTAGCCAAAAATAATACTTGAAAATCTCTAATGATATGCTGCTTAGATGTTTAAAGTTCTAAATATTTCTCTCAGGTAACAACAATAAAATCATTATATTGTAAATTTCCTATTTTCTAAGTTTCGTCTAAAACATAATAATTCCCGGGGTGGGATCAGGGGTTAAACTGTTTTCATTATATGAGTCTTTTTCATAATTCACTTGTACAGTTCACTGTTCCTTTAAAAAATTATTAGCATTCAGTTGGCTGGTTCACACTTTTTGGACAACAAAATAGACGCTCCTCAAAAAGCTTCCATATGACCCAGCAATCCCACATCTGGGCATCTATACTCTTTTCCAAAAAGACATCTGCACTCCTATATTCATTGTTGCACCATTCACAACAGCCAAAATCTGGAAACAACCCGAGTGTCCAAGAACAAATAACTGGATAAAGAAACTATGGTTTCTCTTTGAAACGATGCAATACTACTTGGCTATAAGAAAAGATGAAATCATGCAACATGTCACTCTGTGGATGAAATGGGAGGGTTATCAACCTGAGTGAAGTCAGTCAGAAAGAGAGGAACAGACCAGAGAATGATCTTTCTCATGTTCGAGATAAAAAGCATAGTCAGGGAACAGCAAAAGGCCAAAGGCAGAGACCTGAGACTTGGCCTAAGAACTGAGCTTCTGTAGACCACACCTACAGGGAGACAGCAGGAGCAGGGAGGGAAGTTGTGGGTGAGACAGCGGTGGAAGGAAACAGACACTCTGGCAGAGGGTATGGGGTTGGAACAGCGAATGCATGAAATTCTATCATTAACAGGACTGGAAACCATGGCAGCCAAAATGAAACTCTTAAAAAAATATTAGCATTCAAAAATTAGGCAGTTCTTGCCAGTATTCTTCCTATATTTTGGATATAGAATCATGTATTTAAATACACCTTTCTTTGTGGATTTTTTTACTTCCACTCTTGTAATTTACAATTCAAAGAAGAGACAATAATTACTACACATTTTCCCAGGAGTCACAATTTGATATGCATTTAATTCTCTTTGTCAAGAAAGAGTTATTATTAGTACCCTCCTAATGGCTGAATAACAAAACTGGTCATCAAATACCTGTGAGCAGAGACAATAGGGCTCCAATCCAGTGCTACTCCTCCCCTTCTCTCAAATGTTTATTTTCAAAGAGTCTTTAGAATATTTTACAATACATAAATGATAGCCTCAAAGTGCACAGTGACATCCACAGGCACATTTTATAAAAGCGGGCAGTCTCTCATGTGGAAGAGTCCATCAGTAATAAAAACCCCAATTGTAATTCTGAAGATGAAGCATCCAGACTTACTTGTAACTTTCCACTTGTCGGCAAGAAGAAACAGTAATGAAAGAATCTGTCCGGGAACTGTAAGCAAGAGGTCCAGGGAGAAGAGAGCCGGGGAGGAACCTCCCGAAAGCATAGCTTTCCTGCTCAAACACCATCAGCATGCCGTCCATTGACTGGATACAAATTAAGTCTCGACCTAAAGGAGAATTAGAGGACATCCGATGAACTATTCTTCTAAATACCTTGATTTTTGACCTTATACAACGAAAATTATGTTATATTTCATTTCCCTAAAGGGCAAAATGAGTGCTTTGATTTTTAAATTACATAACTGATCAGACAATTTTATATATGTAAACAAATATTTCCTAAGTTTTATATTACAAGAGATGTCTCCAATCATATTTCTTTCCACTTACAATATGCTAATCTCTAAATCAAGAAAATTCCTGAGAAAGATCATAGTTCTCCATGAGATGTCAGTTTTGTCAAATTCAGAGCGATAGCACAGCAGTAGGGCATTTGCCTTGCACGCAGCCGGCCCAGCCGAACAGGGTTCAATTCCTCCGCCCCTCTCAGAGAACCCGGCAAGCTACCGAGAGTATCTTGCCGGCATGGCAAAGCCTGGCAAGCTACCCGTGACATATTCAATATGCTCACAATGGAGACGTTACTGGGCCCGCTCAAGCAAATCGATGAACAATGGGAGGACTGTGACCATGATCAGAAACGTACTGAAAATTGCTCAGCAGGAAGCTGCTTCTCTCTTTTTACACAGTACAAACTCTAAATATCAGCCTTAGATTTTCTGGCTGGCATACCTTAGATGCCAGCCGAGCACATAAGACCAATATCATCAGCACACATGGGGCATAAATTTATGTAAATAATCCTGTTAAGCACTTTGCGAAGTTAATGGGGTGAGGAAATGAACAGAAACTTTCGCAAAGAAGAAATTTGATTGGCAAAAAGGCACATGAGAAAATGCTCTACATCACTAATCATCAGAGAGATGCAGATTAAAACCACAATGAGATATCATTTCACACCACAGAGACGGGCCCACATCCATAAGAACAAAAGCAACCAATGCTGGTGCGGATGTGGCGAGAAAGGGACCCTCCTTCACTGCTGGTGGGAATGCCGGCTGGTCCAACCCTTTTGTAAAACAGTATGGACAATTCTCAAAAAATTAGAATTTGATCTGCCATTTGACCCAGCTATAGCACTCCTGGGAATATATCCCAGAGAGGCAAAAAGGTATAGTCGAAGTGACATCTGCAATTGTTTGTTCATTGCAGCACTCTTTACAATAGCCAGAATCTGGAAAAAACCTGAGTGCCCAAGAGCAGATGACTGGTTAAAGAAACTTTGGCACATTTACACAATGGAGTACTATGTAGCTGTTAGAAAAGATGAAGTTATGAAATTTACATACAAGTGGTACTACATGGAAAGTATCATGTTAAGTGAAATGAGTCAGAAAGAGCGGGATAGACACAGAAAGATTGCATCCATCTGGGGAACATAAAGCAACAAAAAGGGAGACTAACACCCAGGAATGGCTGAGATTAGTACCAGAAATTTTGCTCCATGAATGGAAGGCCAGCCACACGTTCTAGGTGAAAAGGAAGCTCAGATAGAGAAGAGAGCACCAAATGAAGGGTGTTGTGAGGACCCTCCCAGGGTGGGAGAAGCATGCTAAAAGTAGTCTATAGACCAAACATGATTGCCACTCAATGCCTTTCTTGCAAAACACAGTACCCGAAAGAAGAGAGAGAGAACAAGGGGGAATACCCTGCCACAGAGGCAGGATGGGACGGGGGGATGGGGGGTGGGGGGGGGGATGCTGGGACCCGTGGTGGTGGATGACGGGCACTGGTGGAGGGATGGGCACTTGATCATTGTATAACTGAAACCCAAGCACAAAATTTGTAAGCCTATAACCGTACCTCATGGTGTTTCACTAATAAAAAAAGAAAAAAAATATTAAAGTTGAGAAACACTAATCAGTATATGGCCAAAGCTATACTGATGTTAAGCCCCTTCTACTGTTAATATTTAATTATTAACTCAAATTCTGTGCTTGACGCATACTAAGATGATATAGTGATGGTGATTTCCAGGCTACAGTAAAGTATCCCTACTTTGAAAAAGACTAATAGTTGAGCTAGAACTTTTTAGAACTTTCTAGTGTAACCTATAATATATTATAGCCAAAAAACCCTCTGTCAGAGAAAACTTAAGCTGAATTTTTAAATGTCATTAAGAAAAATTTGTTTAAATGTCCATCCTCTACTTTGTCATCTTGAGCCATATCTAACATATACATTCAACCCTAAGTCACTATTTCATAGTAGCTGAACATCAGTGTCAGGAAATAGATTTGAAATTTGAAATATAATGAATACTTTGCTCCAAATCACTAAATTGTAGAAAAATAGAATATATTCACAAGGGTCATCATTTTACAATCCTCAGAGAGCTAGAGGGAGAGTACGGGGACTGTCACTTGGACTGCATGAAAATGATCATTGTTCCACCATGGCTTGATCACTGGCACTTTCCATGATCCCCACACACTGCCAAGAGAGAGTCCTGAGCAGAGTCAGGAGTAAGCCCTGACCACTAGTGGGTTTGGCCCCAAAACACAAAAATAAAAATAAAATAAATAATAAATAAAATTTAAGAAATAATAAAAATAAATTTAAAAATAATAAATAAATGAGTGCTCCAGATTGACTTAACAATTGCCTTAGCTCTGAATGCTCATAAACAGAAATAAGGGACTGGAAAGAGAGCTCAGAGGCTGAGCACATGCTTTGCATTCAGGAAGCCTGGGTTTGATGCCTACCCTTAGCACAGAGCTGGAAGGAAATCCCAAGGGCTAACAGGTGGAGTTCCAAAACAAAAAACTAAGTAGAACCCAGGAGCCCCCTAGCAGAGATACTAACTCTTCTCCCTAGTAGCCATTCTTTCCATGGTACCTGATCATGGAAGTTCAAATACAGCCAACATTTCCAGGTCTCCATTACAGACACATCATACAATTAGGTGCTTGACAGTAGGAGCTGAGGTGATGGGAAGAGAGCCTTGTTCTTAGAGCACTGAGCATGAGTCCACCCCTTGCTCTTCCACACTATGGAACATTTCTCCTGGTCTCCGAGAGGGAAGGTAGCACTGTAGCACTGTCCTCCTGTTGTTCATCGATTTGCTCGAGTGGGCACCAGTAACATCTCCATTGTGAGACTTGTTGTTACTGTTTTTGGCACATCAAATATGCCACTGGGAGCTTGCCAGGCTCTGCCATGTGGGCAGAATACTCTCTGCAGCTTGCCAAGTTCTCCGAGAGGGAGCGAGGAATTGAACCTGAGTCAGCTGCATGTAAGGCAAATGCTTACCTGCTGTGCTATCGCTCATACTGCAAACCACAGAAACCCTACAATGCAGGGAGCACTTGACCACTATGTGGCCAAATATGGCAGATAAGCATCTTCTGTATTTAAGTAGGGTGTTTCCCTTTTTTGGCAGTTTTGGGAGCACACCCAATGGTGCTTGAGATTTGTTCCTGGACCTGTGCTCAGGGGTTCCTTCCTGGTGATCTCAGGGACCAAATGTGGTGCCAGGATCTAACCTAGGTTAGCCATGTGCAAAGCAAATGCCCTACCTGTTATACTATCCCTTTAGGGTGATTAGGATGATTCTTAAAGCAATCAAAACTTAACACAAAATTTAACTGAGATGCAAGACCCCATCCAATATTGCTACCTCTTAAAATTTAACTTCACTTGACTGGATTCTGATACCAGCCAACCACCAACACAGAAGACATTGGAAAATCCCAGGAATGGGAAAATGATTTTCATGTCAGACATTTAAGAATGACTGTTAATTTTCTCTAAGAGGGATCACAGTATTGTGATAGGAGAAGTGCTCGTTGGGAGATATATTCTGAAGTAGTAATGAATGAAGAGGTACAAGACATGAAAAACTCCTTCAAATGGCTCATTAAAAATAAATACGAGTCCGTGTATATTCATCGGCAGCTCTTGACTCTCAAATTGTGGAAAGAGTGGAATGGACGTTATTGTTACTTCTTCTGATATGCAAAATGCTCATGATATTTTAAGTATATAAAATTAAATTACATATAAGTTATATATCTCTGGCACATCTTTCACCTTGGAGATTTACCCATATTTCTACCTGAATGAACTCTGGAAAAGTTTGCGTTTCTTTTTCTTTCTCTTTCCTCTCTTCTGTCTCATTTCTTTTCTCTCTTTTCTCTCTATCCCATATTCCTCAAAATAAGTTTCTCTAAATAAGACCATTTTACTTCACAAGAAAATTAATATATCTTTGTATACAAGTACACTTTTACAACAAGGGAGAAACCAAGTATTAGTTAATTCAATAGAACTAGGATCTGAGAGGAGAGCAAAAGATTTAAATCAATGAAGAATTAGAGAAACAGAAGAAATTCAATGAAACTTTTATGCAATGACTCTGATGTATGGGGAAGGATAGTACTCTAACCAAAACATACTTTCCTTAGTACTCTTAATGCCTTTATTAAGAAAGAATGTAAGGTCCCCTGACATGTGTAGACCATAGCAGAAGTACCAAGGAAAATTGTGTATCGTTCCATCACAAACTTTCAGTCTCCCAAAGCCTTTCAGAAGTGTCACTCCAACAACACCAATATCAGAATAACCTAGTAGCTTTACAAAATGCAAAATCTGAGGCTTATTTAGTAGACTCACTGAATAAGAAACTATCCTTAGGATTCAGATAGTCTAGCTTTTTTGTTTGGTTTTGAACCTGCAAAGCAGTTGCTCAGGAGCTCTGGAGACCCACAGATGATTCATGATCACTCAGGTCTGTGGTTCAAGTCAAGAGCCCAAACATGTGGGACTGCTCAGACCCTGCAGTGCTTGAAATCACCCAGCCAGGTGGTGCAGGGGGCCACTGGAGCCTCATCCATGATGCTCCTCAGTGCTCATGGGACCATGGGGTGCCAGGAATCAAACCTGCTGTGCTATCTCCCAGCCCCTCAAGTCTTGTAGGTTTTTAACTTAGCCTAGAGGCTGTGATGCAGCTTAAGTTTGCTAACCACTTAGCACAATGTAATGATGAGTTAGAGCTTGAGGCCCAAAGAAAACCCAGCTCTTTTACATGGTACACCCCTACTGTTAT